CACGGCATTCTGATTTTAAAACAACAAGGACCAAAGACTGTTTGACACAAGACAGGTTAAACATGCCAAATATCCACTGAAAAATTAGCTCAAGTTGTCTTCACGTTGTTAAAAAATGGTCTTGTGTAATAATGTTTAAGAACTGGGTGACACAGAATTGGATCCAGACTTTGCTTCTACTGGCAAGGAAGGACAAATTTTGTTTATTCTTCCTCCTCCTGCTCCCAGAACAATGTGGGACATGGCACTTACGGCTGCAACGATGGACAAATGTCAAAGGGCAAACATCTCCTTACCCTCTTCCAGTGTGATCCCTCCATTGGATCAAAAACCTTCCATGGGTGGAAATATCCTTTGCAGAAGGTGAGGTCTGGATCTAATCCATTAAATAGCAATGTGCATTAAAAATAATAATAATTTTGCGTGCAAAGTTATTTCTAGTGTAATGTTGAAGGCCACACACACTGAGCATGTATATGCAGTGAGGAGTAACACTGGCTCATCACACACATGCTCATACAAAATTCATTATTTTTTTTCAGACCAGTGTTTAATAAAATCACCCCTTTAAATTTCCCAATAATTAAGCATAAATAGGAAATGGCATTTATACCTGTTGAAGCACACATTAAAAAAGAATTCAGTGGAAATAAATGTTTGCTTAATCTGTCAGGGAAGTATCAGCAAGCAGTATTATTTCCTACTGAGGATCAGAGTCCTTTTATATTTACAAAGTATAGTTTTAAAAAGAAATAAAGGCAACACATAGTTAAACCAATTCAGAAAGCACAACATAAACAGCCAGAAAGAGATGTTTTCAGGTGCATTCAGATACAACAAAATGGCATGGAAGGCTGCTAAATATCTCTGTTATCCCTATTAGACAGTTCGTCTGTATACTCTAAAATCCAAGATACATAAAAGCCCAGTTGAATCCACAGCCATACTGGGAGGAAGTTTTCTTAATGTTAATGATGTTTCTAAGGTTGCTTTTTGCCAATTTTATTCTTATATGGTGTATATTGCCTTGATGTATTTCATGTGAAGTGCAGAATACATACAGATACCTAAATAGATAACCTAAGATCCTAACTGCTAAGTGATCACATAGCAATTCATGCTGGAAAGGTTGTCACAATACTCATATGAGCCATCACCAGTGAATGGAACCTAATGTGCTTGGGTCATGTAATACTTTGCTTTCTCTGTTGGGCTACGCCATATATAGGATTTAGGCTGCAATCCTATGTACCTGTGAGTACCACCCTTTGAATAGTGAACTTATTTATTTCAGAATAAACAGAGTTGTCCTGAGTGTACAAACCATCTCATTGGAGGGGTCCCTTCCAACTCTACAAATCTATTCAGTTGTCAGAGAAAATTCTCCAAAGCTATAGAAATCACAGCAAGGATAAGTAGGGATGGCGACCCAGTCAGATGAGTGGGGTACAAATTTTATTTACTTACTTACCTGCCTGTGACCATTCTGATGCTGCTTGACTACAAAACCCATCACCCTGAACCATGGGCCATTCTGACTGGATCTGATGAGAGTTGGAATCCAACATCTGCAGGGCCATACATTTTGCCACACCTGATTGACGTGGTGGAACTACAGGTTATAGCAGCAAATGCAAGCTTTCAGAAAACTGTGAATTGAGAAGAGGCAAGAGCGCTTTGCTCTTCTATTCTGATTATTCCCTGCAAATGTCTCCTGCAGCTGCCCCACTTCTTGTGATTTAGTATGTATTTATAACACCCATCTGTGAAGGGAGGGATTATTTAAAAATGGCCTGGCTTGGGGGATTTTGAGAGGAGAGTCAGTGCACAGGAGACCGACTAACACCACTGTGCCCCCATCTGACCAACAGTTCTCCCTTACAATCCTCTCCCATCATTGGCTTTCTTTGCCACACGCAGGATTGTTAGCTCTGAAGTACCACCCTAAATTTAACAAGGCTCTGGGAAACTTTCTCAAAATGTCTGTTGCAAATGCATTGGGGAATATTAAATGAGGCTAGGCAGAAATTCATCCTAAATACAAAAAAAGTGCTGAGGGCGAAAAACATCTGTATTTTGATGTTGAAAGCCAATGATTAGAAAACATTCCTTTCTTTACCAATTTTGGGTCAGAGGAACCATTTGTAACTTCCTCTTTCTCCTAATAAGTTAGAGGTGTTTTTTTTAAAAAAAGGACTACAAAGGGTTTCATTATTTAGGTCTTTAAAGAAACAAAAAACAACTTATCAAATGTTACTAGTAGTTGGGGTGTGGGGAAAAAGGCTTCATAAGAGATGTGGGAGCCAGAGACCCTTCAAAATGAATCTGTCTTCAGTTTTTGAAGCTGAAGATCTAAATGCCAGTGAAACGGTGATTTACCCCCATACCTGCAAAATTAAGAGATGAATGACAACTCCGCATAGCCCAGCGTCATTGTGTGACTCTTTCAAAGGACGCATTTTATTATTAGCATTTCAAAAACTTCCTAACAGGCCGACTGCTCCTGTGCTGTTCGGCTCCTTCACCACTAATGTCAATAAAAAAAGTTGCAAAACTCATTTTGCCCCCCCTGTCTCAGCAGCATTGCCCCAATAACTTGGGGCTTCTTCTTCTCTCTTCAGCACTGGAGTGCAGCAATCTTAAGGGAAATGGCATTCATATTCTGAAATTCAAAAACTGCAGTTCTTTTGAGAGTTGTACCCCTTTCTGACTGCATAGATGTGCCCTTTGGGCAGTGTTTTCCAAACCCTTTGGTACCTGGGGGGCAGCTTCTTTGAATGAAAGTGGTGGGTACAATTCACTCTTTTAAAAATAACACCACCTAAATGTCATCAGCATTGAGAACAATGGTCAGGCACTCTCCCAGTATCCCACCTTCCTCTTTGCCTGGTCAGTCAGGGCTTGAAAATAATGGCAACAGACAGTGGCGATTTAGTAGGAGATCCCACCACTCTGTCACCAAAATGTAGCGGATCGCACCGCTCTGTCACCGATTGCGGTAGATCCCACCTAGGTACACACTCTGTACCCAGGGTTATCGTACGGGCTTTGTGTGGAGGTAAAGTTAGATCCTTGGAGACTCAGGCAGAAGTTGAACCAATACAAAAAGATTTATTTTGCAGAACGAAGTTGATAAAACAAAGGATGTGTCAGGAGATAATGTTCTTTCAGGAAACAGTTAACTCATTAATAATTACACTAAATCTAGTGGATGTTTCAGGCTTCTAACAGGGTCATAAATGCACAGCTTCTTTTAAATGCTGGTTGCTTAATTCAATTGGTACTCTTTCGTTAGGTGTTGCAGGTTTCTAAACTAGATGGTAAATGCTCAGCTTCTTTCCACTTATTTCACTTCACTTCGTTAACTTAGTTGCATAGGTGTTGCAGCTTAATACTTTGGTTCTTAAGCAAGGTGGTACTTTCTGTCAGTTTTCCAACCTTTTATCAACCACATTCCTGAGGCACTTCTAGCAGTGTAGCAGGTCCAAGGGATTGCCACACCCCTAACTGGTCTGGAAGTCTTCTCTTTCTAGGAGATCTCTCCTCTCCTGACTGAAATGAAACCCAAGGAGACAATCTCCTCACAGCGTTTACTTCTCCTGCTCAAACTCAGGCCTTCCCGTTAACTCCTCTCTGAATATTCTCTCCCAAAACGCTACACGCTGTCTTTGAATCTAAGCTCAGAAACTCCTTTCTCTAGCTGTAGATACTTTCCTCAGAGTGGGTGTTACACAGAGACCAGAGCCAACTCTCCTGTCCCTCCTGCTCTCTCTCTAACCATCTCCCTATCTGAACACTCTCTCAGAAACGGCTCCTTTTATTCTCCCTCCAAAAGTGCTGGCTCCACCCCCCTCTGACTAGCTGTTTTGGTAGGCCATCAGACAGAGGCTCCAGCCCTCTGGTGAAATTCCAAGGCCCTGCATCACAAGACATTGGTCTAGCTTAGCTGTCCATCACAGGTGACTTATTTGGGATTACCCGGTGTCTACTTGCTGTGTTGGGACACGGGTGGCGCTGTGGGTTAAACCACAGAACCTAGGACTTGCCAATCAGAAGGTCGGCAGTTCGAACCCCCGCTACGGGGTGAGCTCCCTTTGCTCGGTCCCAGCTCCTGCCCACCTAGCAGTTAAAAAGCACACCAGTGCAAGTAGATAAATAGGTACCGCTCCGGAGTTTCCTTGTGCTGCTCTGGTGCGCCAGAAGCAGTTCAGTCATGCTGACCACATGACCCGGGAGCTGTACACTGGCTCCCTCAGCCAGTAAAGCGAGATGAGCGCCACAACCCCAGAGTCGGCCACGACTGGACCTAATGGTCAGGGGTCCCTTTACCTTTACTTGCTGAGTTACACCAAGGAATCCCACTCTGTCTCCCTTACTTGGAAGTTGTTTTAGACCAAGTCAAGTCATTAGTCCCTCTAGTTCATTATTGCCTACACTGTCTGGAAGTAACTCTCCAGGTCTTTCTCCCACCCGCTACCTGGAGATGATAAGAACTGAATCTGGAACCTTTTGCATGCAAAGGCCTTGAGATGATGATGGTGGTTCTTCTATACCGAGACAGTGCAAGCGCTGCATGGTTTCTTTAGTCTTTAGGGGGCCTAGGGTGGCACTTGCTTCCAAAACGATGGCTTCATTTTTCAAGACGCACATTAGTTCTTCCGGCAGCATACAGTTTGAGGAATCACCGCCTTAGGCAGAAGCCAGGCAGTTAAGTAATTTTAAACCATATTTATGTTTCGTGTGTGCAGCCTATCTCACCACAAGCTTCTCCCATACTTTCAAATGTTGGTAGGTATGAAAGAATGTTAATGCCTAAACCGTGTGTCTGTTTTTCTCTGATTCACTACAATTATCTACCATCCTGTTTCGTTTTGTGTAACAAACAGATGTTGCCTGTGCAACTCATTTGCTGAATAAGGCCTACTTGATGATGTTTAAGTTTCCAATCTAGTTTTACCAAAGCCATTTGACCTTTAGCAGAAACAAAAGTAAAATGAGAATGCAGAACAGTGATTTATTCAGGAAAGAATTATTTATATACCTCAAATATGTTTTTCATTAAAAACGATATTTATTTATACCTTACATACTTCAAAAACAGTGTTGGGTTTTTAAATTTTTTTAAAAAATGTTCCTCAGATATCATTTAGCCATTTTTTAAGGTTTGTTTTGCCTTTTTCAACATTTCTTCTCGCTTGGTTCCTAATAGCTGGGCAGAGGGCAGGGTTTGAAGAGACAGTGCAGTACAGATAACACTACAAAAGTTAATTTGTTTGGGAAGAACAAACCTTTACTTTTCTATGTTCCCTTTCACAAGCATACCGTACATACGTAGCATAAAACAAAACAAAGCATCTCTCCATTTAATTTTTATAAACAAAAGTAATTAAGACTTTGGAAAAAAGACAAAAGCACAAATGAAAAAAAAAATCAAGTCAGCAAAAATTGTGGAGGTTTTTGATGTAAACATATTTTTTTGACATACTGGTCGGTAACACTTTTAAAAGAGTCTGTAGGAAATCTGTAAATAATGTCAGAAGTTGTGTCCACTATTTGAAAACAAAGAAATATGGCCTAAGATAAGGCATTTCAATTAATAAAGACATCTTTTTCTTTTTCTTTTTTACACACACATGGAGATACTGCAACTAGTATTTATATTTTTGTTTTAGGAGAAAAAAAGTACTGTAGCATATACTGCTTTCAAACAAGGGAAAGTTAGACAAGCCTAAGTCTCAATGAAAGGATAGGGTTTAGTTCAGTTGAGACTAACGTCTTCCTGTTGGTTCAAATGAGACTCAGCCACAACTAACTAGAGGTGGATGAGGGCCAAGGAAGACGGGGGAATCTATTTAACTGGAATAGTTTCCGCTAGTAAAATTAAGACTGGATTGCTAATGCCAATTTGCAATGAACAGTGGTTGAAATTGCACAACAGAGTCAACTTGGAAGCTGAAAGCAACCCAAGTATTTCTGGTTTCGCAGTTACAAGAGAAATGTTCTAGGAAAGAAAAGCACTCTCTTTGAGTTAGCAATGCACTGTGTGCGGAAATATTCCTTGTGTATTCTTTAAAAAAAAGAGAGAGAAAAGATCTGTTATATGACACACACCATAATGGTCTTGGCTGTAGGCTGAGCTTAAGTAAATATCATCATTCAGTCAGTATGCTGTGGTAACACAGGCTGCCAGTGCGGTTTGCCATGCTCAGACAACACATGTAAACACCAGAAACAAAAAGAAGAAGAAAAAAAGATTTGGTGAGCAGCTTCTCCCTGTCTTCCTCAATCATTGGCCTCTCCTCTAACACACTCTTTCCCAACTCTACTGTAATTGTTCTCTGACAAATCATGTTGGGAAAGTACAAAAGATGAAAACATGAATTTTCGGTTTGGGTCCCTCCCTATACGCAGCCACCAGCTTCCGATTTCTCCAAAGGGGAAGTTACCCAATCTAATGAATGGCACACCGTTTCCAAGCTTTAAGTGCTTGTGCCATTAATGGCTTTCGATTGCTTCTATTAAAAAAAACCAAAAAACCATGCCTTGATCATACCTCGGCACTTTCCAGTGCACACCAGACAACTTTGCAGAGGTTAGAATTGTTTTTCATTTTCATGCAACTAAAGCCCAAGTCTTCAGTAGAGAACATACAAATTCATTTCAGGAATTCGGATTTGGCCCTTAAGTCACTGTGACCTCCTTCTAAGCTACTGCAGATCAAAAGTAAGTCCCACACAATTCAACTGGACAATTTCAACTGGAAGCCCATCCTTTCTCAGTTGAAGAAATGTCTCACACTGCGAAGCGCTGCTTTCTTTGTCTATAAACCTACAGACTCACTTGTGGATAATATTTAGAACCTGAGAAGGACATTCATGTGTATTCTCTCCTTGCTCCCAAATTCCTAGGATATTTTTCCCCGCAGGCCACAGCAGCTGATTATATTTTGGTTACTGAAAACTTGTGCAAAGTTGGCAGTTTCGTGTTAACATTTAACACTTTTATTTTTTATTTTATTTGTTCGGCATTCTCGCCCCATACTGACCGGACCACTTCTAACAAAGTGTTAATTCTTTCCTTTCTTTTTTTTCTTAATCAATAAGACACTGAAAGTATGGCAATACTTTTTAAGGGAAAAAAGGGTATGGATATTATTACACATCCCCACATTGTGTAAGAAAAAAGTGCATGACTGGATTTATGTAATAGTAACAAGACAAAAAAAATCCCTTAAAAAAAAACTGTATCAGATCAGGTGCTCTAAAGCATGCCAGCACCTCCCCATTACGCATCTCTAGCAGGTAGTTAAAAAACAAGACCTTGTGTTTTCTTCTTTTTTTCTTTTTTCTAAATGTGCACTGAAGCTAATATAAATGAACAGAGCTAGCCAGCAAACTATTCTCCCCCCCTTCCCCGCATATCTAACAGCTGGATGTAAATGTAAAACCGAACCGAACAAAAAACAACCCCCCCAAATAAAAATAAAACAAAAAGTTAACCACCATCAATACAATTGTTTTACATGATAGGCCCTTCAAGGCTCAATATATACAAGTGTAACAGCCATGTGTAGTTGATGGTCCTCTCAAAGGTTTAACATACACAAAAGACAATTGTACTTGTTCTTTTTTCCCTCCTCCCCTCTCTCTGCAGTGCTGTGTTTCCTCGTGCCCCCCCCCTCCGCTGCATTTCTCCCCTTCCTCAAGATTGCAGGCGACAGTCAAAGGTAAAAGAAACAGTCTCTTTGGAGATGACCACGGGTTTTATAACAAAAGTGGGGCTTCAAAATGCAAGTTTGTTCGTGTTCGTGTTCGTGTGTGTGTGTACGTTCGTTTGTTCTCTTTGAAGCAGTGGAAATTTCCTCCCAGGTTAAACTTACTACCCCAACCCACACAAAATAAAAACAGACAAACAAGAAAAGGAAAAGAAAAATAGGAAAAGGAAAAGGAAAAAAAAAGCACCTGGTGTTTGTTTTTTCTGTTTTGTTAAAAAAGAAAAAAAAGATATATATTTATATTTATATATATATATATTTATATAATAGTCTGTAAATGGCAGTTCAAAGTAGCGGAAACCCTCTGCGAGAGCTACTGGCGTTTGCCACGTCCATCTTTGAACTAGTCTAGTGAAGCGAAGGGAATGTTTTTATGCAGGTTTGGGTTCTGACTGTGCCGGTTCCGGCTGCGGACAGAAGAAAACATCATGTTGCACCCAGGGATTTTGCACTTGTGCATCTCCCGCAGGTGCACAGTCTTGTAATGCACCCTGAGAGTCCCCTTGTTGCTGTACATTTTGTGGCAAATGTTACACACAATCCCCCCGTTGCTCATGGAAACGCTGTTGAACATGAGGGAGCCAGGGACTTCGGCGCCCACGCCGACCCCTAAGGCTGGGGCGTCCGCCTTGTGTGACGACTCCCCACTGTCACTTGCGCCGTCCACGTCATCAAGGAGAATCCCCTCGTCGCTCCCTGCGTCGGATTCTCGGGAGGAATGGATGCTACTGCTAGACTGGATGCTGGAGGTGGTGCTGAGGTCTAGCACCATGTATTCTTCTGACATGCCCCTTCCGTACCCGTTCAGGTGGGAGTCCTCAGTACCTGCCGGGGAGGAGGTGTCTTCCCGTATGTCAAAGCCCATCTGATGCGGGGCGCCGTAGATCTTCATCAAAAACTCGTCGCGGAGGTCCTTGCTAAGCGAGGGCTGCGAAGTGTCCAGGCCCATGTCATCCAGTTCTTTGGTCAACAGTTTACGGTGCAGGTTTATGTTAGCACTGTGTCTAGGAAAGAAATAGGAAGAGGGGGCGGGGAGGGAGGAAAAAAACAACACACCGTATCGCTGATTACATTTGTAACGCAAAACTTGCAGGTCAAAACATAAGTTAGCAAGATGGGGATTTTCATGCAATCCTACTTCTACTGCCTCTTCTCTCGGAAATCCAGGCATTACTATAATGGACACAAAGGCAGGGCAAAAATGCTACAGATCCACACTAGCCTGGTCTCTGCCCCACCCCATTTAGGATTACAAGGAACTTCAGCTACTCAGCAACGTAACCTGTTTTGGTTTTTGACCAACAGATTACTGCAGCTCTTACAAAAGGAGCCTCTTTCAAAAAGAACTAGGCAAGAGGGAGAGAAATCAGTAGAATCTCTTTCTATATATACACAACATTGGAGCTGCTGGTTATAGATTGGGATTGTAATCAAAAAGACCAGTATAAACTGGAGAGACTCTGTAAGAAGTTAGGCTAGTTTTATATTTTTCCCCAATAATGAGGGGGAACCTTAAATGTTTCTGGGCAAGACCAATCTTAAATGGAATAAAACAGTGAAATCTTTGAATGGATGAGGTCTTTTGAGCCTGATTCAACAAGTGTTTAATATAATCCTTGCTTAGGGCTACCACAGATTCCAGTCAGGCATTTTGGCTTAAAAGTTACACATGCAGTGAAATTTGGGGCCGCAAGAGTAACTGAAAAACTAAATCCATGTTGAGTGGAATGACTTATAAGAGGAGTTGTTGTTTTAAAATAGTAGTGGAAGAACGTGTGATTCTGTGTGACTTAAAACTGAGCCATGTCCACACAAATTGGGCCTTTTTATATTGATTCACATGATCGTTTCAATGCCCTTATTATGTTTATTTAAATCCATTGATTTCTCCTCTCCCTCCCACCCCAGAAAATCCTCAGGGTTTGGGCAGAAAATAATAAATGAAAAGTGGAATATGCAAATTCATTACTGAAACTTAATGTTTTAAATTCCATAGATTATCTGTCACTGTCTGCAAAGCAAGTTTGGAGTCCTGTAACAGACAGCATGGGCCACAATACATCTCTCATTATGAGCTCAATTAATTGCCAGGTGTACATATCTTCCTGTTTCCAGGTGTCATTTGGCAAAAAGCAATTGGGAGGGCTACAAGGTTACTGAATACCTTGAAAAGCATGAGTTTGCAGGCTGTGGGGGTCACTCAACATGCACAGCCAAGAGGAACAATGATGTTTTATTATATGCAGCCAGTAAAGGCTGAGGTGGGGTTCCTTGAGCTTGGCACTGTCACAATGTGAACCCACAAACTCTTGCTCCAACTGACAGTAGAGGTGGGCGCACTCAACAGTTCAGTTGTGCATTTACACAAAGCAAATGCACAGCTGAAAAATCAGAGTGGGGTGGGGGAAAGATGTCCTAAAATTAAAAAAATAAGAAGAGTTTCAAATCCAGTTATAGTTGCACACTACAGTGTGTTCCAGGGGACGCGGGTGGCGCTGTGGGTTAAACCACAGAGCCTAGGACTTGCCGATCAGAAGGTCGGCAGTTCGAATCCCCGCTATGGGGTGAGCTCCCGTTGCTCGGTCCCTGCTCCTTCAACCTAGCAGTTCGAAAGCACGTCAAAGTGCAAGTAGATAAATAGGTACCGCTCTGGCGGGAAGGTAAACGGCATTTCCGTGCGTTGCTCTGGTTCACCAGAAGCGGCTTAGTCATGCTGGCCACATGACCCAGAAGCTGTACGCCAGCTCCCTTGGCCAATAAAGCGAGATGAGCGCTGCAACTCCAGAGTCGGCCACGACTGGACCTAATGGTCAGGGGTCCCTTTACCCTTTACCTTTACAGTGTGTTCCTGTCTAAGGAAGTGATGGGCAATGTGCTTTGCCATGTGGGTGGAATTGCCTGCCCTCATTCTCTCCTTGCAGTTCAAATGGGGGTTGCGCTGGATGCCGGCTATGAGGCAAGATGCACACCTGTGTGCAATCTGGGTGTGCAGTCCCCAATCTAACAAAGCCAACTGTTTCTGCACATGGATGGGCCTTCCAAATTTGTGTGACTTGAGTGTAGGAAACCCAAGATGACAATGCAAGATTTCTTTATATCATTTGAACGTCATTGGTTCAAACAGTGGATTCGCCGAGAGCCTTTCTCTCAACCAGCTGGGCTCCCAAAAGTAGAAGAATAACCCAAGTGTGCATTATAGTGGGCTGGGAGGGTGTAGAATAATGTAAACTTAATTTTCCATATCTATTTACATGATTCATCATATATTGTCATAACTCATTTACCTTATTAAATATAGCAAAGTAGGATAACAACCTACTTTTCCCTTTGACAGAAGGCAGGTGGCTGTTGCTGGTTTAAGGATGATTGATAATTGAGGGGAAGTAAATTTGGGTCCCATAGGAGCTCTCTCTATGGAGAAGAACTAGCGAGAAATATGTCTGATATTTTTTTCAGGGGTGGGGAAGGAGAGATGCAAGGCATATACTGTCCGTTCATTCCCAACGAGACGGCGATCCTTTCACAGAAACTATTGTACTACTGTTTCTTTCTAAGCACACAAGTGTGTTACACATGTACCCCACACTGCGCTTACGAAGGCTGAGCTTACCTTGTGATAAGATCAGCTTTCTAATCTTTTGCTAAATCGAGATCACAAAAGAAAGAGGGAGACAGTGAGAGAGATAGAAAGAAGGAGACAAGAGAGAAAGAGAAAGAGAGAAAGAGAACAAATTCACATTCCAATCCAGTCACATCTGGCTTAAAAAAAAGAAAAGAAAAAAAGAAAAGAGAATCTTAAAACAATAAAATACAGGCTAAAAATGCTTCGGCCATGAGATCATTTTCTGTCACCCATCATCTCACTTACACTGTTGTCCTGATGGTTACCGGACCAACTGCACAATCTAAAACCATAAATCAAATCAGACACAGGCAAATTCACATCATCCACAGATTTGTTCTGAACAGATGCATGCTGTATTCACATCCATGAATGATAAATAAACAGAAAAAAAGGCCGTACAGGCTCCTAGACAGAATTATTTCTTGCCCATTCTAGTGTCAGATGGCAAATGATTCAAAGGGAAAGTTTCTAAGCAAAATACAGGAAGCACTTAGCTGTGAACGCCTGCATGTTAACAAGCTGCAGTTGTTTTTGCTAGTTATTGCACATGTGTAACAGTGCTATTGAGATTCATGGTCCAGTTACTGACACCAAGAAACCATATCTAGGATGTCTGCTTGCTTCCCTGACTGCATCTTACAAGCAAGCAGAAACATGTGGCAGCTTTGGCTGCGGCAGTTAAGTGGTTGTTCCATGAACAAGCTATCTGAGGGCAGGAGCTTGCCATGCCACTGCCAACTCTCATGGCAAAAACAAACAGGAGCACATAGTCAGCTATTGCACTTGAGCAACTCCCTCTTTTAAATGTGTGCATCCCGCCCTCTCTCTGAGAAGCTCCCGGTGGCAACATTTTAGTCTCACGACTAGGGTTGCCAGAACACACTGCAGAGAACATGCATGTAGTTTCTCCCTCCAATTATCTCCTAGTCTCGACACACACCTGCCTGTTCTAAGAAGCAGGGATCCAGGTGTGCCATGGAGCCGTAGGGTTGGTAAACAATGGGACTGGGTTAGGAATGGGTGAGAGATGGCTGCCCAGTCTTCTGATTCACGTAGAGCTACACGCACACTTTCTGGGATGCAACCCAGCAATCCTAATGGCAGCAGCCCACGGTGGTCATTTAGAGGGAGGGAGTCTAACATGCCTAAGTAAGGCCAACTACCAGTGCTGGATTTACATATAAGCTAAACAAGCTATAGCTTAGCCCCCATCCAAAAAAAAAAAAAATAAAGAAAAAAATTGTCAATGACAATGTGTTTGCATTATTAAGTTTGTTATGAATAAAAAAACATTTTGAGTTAGAGCTTAATAATTACTTCACTATTAATATACTACTTCTTAATTGTATTTCAGTTCAACAATTTCTTTGATAAAATACCGTATTTTTCGCTCTATAAGACACACCAGACCACAAGACTGGTTTTTGGAGAAGGAAAACAAGAAAAAAAATATTCTGAATCTCAGAAGGCAGAACAGCAAGAGGGATCGCTGCGCAGTGAAAGCAGCAATCCCTCTTGCTGTTCTGGCTTCTGGGATAGCTGCGCAGCCTGCATTCGCTCCATAACACACACACACACACATTTCCCCTTACTTTTTAGGAGGAAAAAAGTGAGTCTTATAGAGCAAAAAATACAGTACGCATTTTGTTATGTGCAAATGGCTTTAGATACCTATTAGGTCCATAAATTACCATATAGCATATATTCAACAGAGCGACAATTTGTGGTGGACAAAGGACAGCTGGACATATAATGGGCCCCATTCCTTCAGTAGCTGAGGGCTTCATCAAACTGAAATCCGGCCCTGCCAACTACTGAACTACGTAGCTATGCAGATAATTGAACTAGGGGGGTTTCTGACATCCAAACCCACCATGCTGTTCACTGCACTGCACTGCACTGGCCTTGCCTTTATGTAGAGCAGCCTAACAGCATGGCACTGAGTCGAACTTAGGCTTGCCTTTTCCCAATTTCCCCCATGCCCCACTAAAATACACTACAAGCTGAGTTTTGTGTAAATGTAGCTAGGAGGTGCACAGCCTGTCAATTCTCTCTTGTTTTATTCCTTGGTTTCCTGCTAGAACTGCCAGATTTGTCATGCAAATAACATCAGGGTTTACTGAATGCAATACAATGCAAAGAAATATTAATATTGTTTCACCCTCTTCTCCAAGCGAAAGTTGCTTTCCTGATTGGTGACCTGTTAAAAGTTGCAGCTGGTTTCAGCTATCAATAGGAAATGATGCCATATCCATTCACTTATCATTTATAGCAGTAGCTATCAGTAATCTAATTAAACTTATGTACTGGCCGTTAATGTCTGTCAGGCAAATGATGTGCAGAAATTTGTGGACAAGTTCTGGCACTTTCGTTGACAAA